GAAGAGTCTCAAGGATTGTCCTGCCTAAGCTGGCTTCTAACCATGATCCTCAGGTTTCAGCCTCCTGATTAGCTAGGATTATAGACACGAGCCACCAGCACCCAGCTAAAATTATGGTTTTAATTTGAGGAATAAGAAGGCCTATAGACCCATATATACATCTTACAAAATGCTAACATAATAATGCAAAATAACTTGTAAAATATATGAACTATAGGATTTGTATTATTTGGAATTTTTTGTCTTTGTCTCAGGTATCAAGATGGTACTAACCTTATAAAACATGTTTGGAAATATTCTCTCTAGCTCTATTTTTGAGGGGAGGAAGAGTTTAAGAAATTGGTGCTAATCAAGTCATGTGGTCCGAGCTCTGTTGTTGTTTTTGGTTGTTGTAAAATTTTGAAATGCTTCTTCAGTCTCTTCATGGTTGGTCTTTTCAAGCTTCCTAGTTCTTCCCAATATAATCTTAATAGGTGGATATTTATCCACTTCCTCCTGATTACAGTTTGTTGTCAAATAATGTTATAATAGTCTCTGAGGATCCTCTTTATTTCTGAGGCATCTGTTGTAATGGCTCCACTGTTATTTCTGACTTTGAGTCTTCTCTTTCTTTTTTCTTAGTCTGATTATGGTTTGTTGATTTGTTTTCTTTTTCAAAGAGCCAGTTTTATTGATACTGTTTATGGTTTTTCTATTCTCTATTTCTGTTCTGATCTTTTTTAGTTCCTTCCTTCTGCTAAATTTGGGGTTAGTTTTTTTCTTTTTCTAGCTTCTTGAGTCAAAATGTTAGGCTGTTTGTTTTGGTTATTTTTCTTTTTAATGTAGACATTTATGAAAATGTTTCCCTAGGATTTTTGTTACATCCCATGGGTTTAGTTACATTGTGTTTTCATGGTTATTTGTCTCAAGGTATCTTTTAATTTCTCCTTTGATTTCTTCTTTGACCCACTGGCTTTTCAGTAGTATATTGTTCAATTTAAATATGTTAATGTCTGGCAAATGTTGACACAAAAATCCTTAGTAAAATATTAGCAAACTGAATTGAACACATCATGAAGATTTTATATCATGGCCAAGTGGAATCCGGCACTGGCAAACAACTCTGGTTTAACAAATGCCAATAAATCAATATGATGTTTCCTATCATCAGAATGAAAGATAAAATCTACATAATCATCTCAATTGAGGCAGAAAAAGCATTTGACAAAGCTCACCATGCTTTCTTGAAAAGAACTCTCAGCATTTAGACACACAAGGAATGCTCTTTAGCACAAAAGTTCATTTATTAAAACAAAACTATACCTACCAACATAATTGATGTAGAACAACTAAAAACATTTCCATGAAGACCCAATACAAGGTAGGGATGGCTGCTCGCATCACTTTTATTCCTCACAGTATTGGAAATAGTCACCAGAGCAAACAGATAGGAAAAAGAAACAAAAAAGAAGCCAAATTGAAAGAAAAAGTAAAATAATTTCTATTTGCAGATGACATGATCCTGTATGTAGGCAACTATAGGTTCCACAAAAACTGGTTCAGATCAATAAGTTTGTGAAGTTGCAGGATAAAGCAGTATCACTTGTACAGATTATCAGTGACCCACCTGAAAAAGAAATTTTTTCTTTTTCTTCTTCTTGTCTTTTTCCCTTTTCTTCCTTTTCCCTCCCTCCTTACCCTCTTCCTTTCACCTTCTCTTCTTCCCTCCCTCTCTTCCTTCTTATCCCCCCCCCTCCTTCCTCCTGCTTTCTTTAAAAAAAAAAACAACAAGGTCTTACTATCTAACTCAGGCCCACTACCATCTAGTAATCCTCTCACCTCAGCCCCTTCCGTCTGAAGGGGAATTTGTTTCTTCTTGATGCTGGGATTAAGGTATGTGCTACCAATGTGTTATTTCTGTTATTCTGTCTACCTTTGGAAGGGGAGAGGGGAATACTGAGGCTTAAACTCACAGGACCGAATTATTATTTAGCTTAAAAAAATCACAACTGGTACTGTGCCACTTGAGCCACACCAGTTAAAAAATGGGCAAAGGACTTAAACACCTCCTTCCTAAGGTTTAAAAATGACTAAAGGTATATAAAAATGTCCTTAACTAATCTTTGAAGCAATGTTATTAAGAGCACTATGAGATTTCACTTCATGGTCCTAAGTATGGTGACCATGGCATTTTCATTATGTAGCCTGGCATTTTGCTAATTGGAGAGGAAGTCTCACCAACTCTTCTGCCCAGACTGGCTTCAAATCATGTTCCTCTTGATCTCAGCCTCATGAGTAGTTAGCATTACAGATGTGAGCCATAAGTTCCTGTCCTGTCTCCATAACTTTAATACTTTTATAATGAAGTTGCACTATGGTGGCTATACATGTTTTGGGGCATATAATTATTTACATGTCCATTCCATAACATATTACTTAGTTAACAGTATGTATTAGTGAGAATCTGGAGAAGTGAGTCAACCTTGGCATTGTGTATTATGAGCGGCTCAGAGCCCCTTAATGTTAACACTTTCTTAGCTGATACCGTTTTGCACCTTCTATTTAGGTAGGTGTCAGTGCCCATAAAGAAAAGTGACTATGGAACTTTTAGAGGACAAATTACTATATCATAAATTCAGAGAAATAATGCTCATTGATCCTTCATTGTTCCTTATGGAGTTGGTGAAACACTATGAAACCAGAAGGAGGGGCTGGGAAGGTGGCTCAGCGGTAGAGCGCTTGCCTTGCATGCATGAGGCCCTGGGTTCAATTCCTCAGCACCACATAAGCAAAAAGAAAAAAGCAGAAGTGGCGCTGTGCGCCTTGAGCTGAAGAGCTGAGGGACAGCACCCAGGCCCAGAGTTAAGGCCCCACGACCAGACCTCCCCCCCCCCAAAAAAAACAAAACAGAAGGATCTCATGGTTTTATTCTTTCATTAGTGGATGACAGCTTGCATCTGGTTTTACATTGTTCTGCACACCAGGAGTGTCAGAGTGAATAGGAATAAATCAGAAGTTCCCAAGGGAAGTTGAGGCCTTTTAAAAAATTATATTGTGAATATGTAGAATACTTTTTAATAGACTGCCACTTATAAACATCCTCAGCAGCAATAATGAAATTAGTAACAAATGTATGCACATCTCAAGTGGGACAAGTGACCTGACTGGATGTGAGACAAATGTGACTAATCGTTTTGGAGTGTGTTTTATTGTGCCTGTTTGAGTCACAGAGATGGAGACATGGACCCTGTAATGACATGTTACCATGGCTCTCCTCACTTCCAACCTCATTGCAGGACGGCAGCAGTGAAGCAGTAGTTGTTTAACCAAAATCTCACACAACACAATTTCATTGACTGCTGTCCTCATGCAGTACATTAGACATCAAATGCTTTTGATCGCTATCCCTTTTAGTATTTTAAATGTTTTGGGCTCTGCCAACCCCCAGCATGTGTTTTCTTCTAAATGAAGTCCTCCATAATTGAAGGCCACCAACATTTTAAGAATTTAATAAACAAATGCTTTCTTGGCCAAAATAAATCATATTTCTGTGCTATGTAAACAATGAAAAGAATTAGGAAGATGCTGATGGCCTCCCAGGCCGGGCTGGTTCCTCTCGCCAGAAGCCCTGTCCACCCACAGAATGCCCTGGAAGTCAGTGGAGGAAATTAATGTGCCACCCAGAGCAGAGAACATGGAAATGTGCTGAATTAATAGTTGGGGTCATAAAAGACATTGGAAGAGAATTCTTTCAGTGAGATGCTGACCAGAGTTTGGTTACATAATTCTACAAACTTTTGTTTTTCCTTCTGAAAGGAAATTATGGTTTTTCTCAGAAAGAATAATGGTACTACCTAACACCCCACAGCATAATGTCAATAAACTTATTTTGCTAATAGTTATTAATTTTATTTTCTGATTACAAAAGAAATATGGCCTCAGTGTAGAAAATGCAAAACTCTCCCAAGGAAACACAAATCAAAATAATCCTCTATTCCCCATTCTGCGATAAAAACCAGTAATATGGAAACCAATGATATGGATCCCTATTTTACTGAAAACTTATTTGACTGATAAAGAATGATGGATGGATAACTTGTAAGAAGCTTGCTACACTTTTTTTTTTCTTTTTGGTGCTGGTACTGGGGTTTGAACTCAGAGCCTTATGTAGCTTTCTTGTATATGACTGGTGCTTTACCACTAGGGCATGCCTCCAGCCTGGCATTTTGCTGGTTCATTAGAGATGGAGTCTCTTAAGACTTTTTTCTGCCCAACTTGGCTTCAAATCATGATCCACTGGGTCTCAGCCTCCTGTATAATTAGGATGTTAAAAGTGAGCTACTAGAGTCCTGCACATGATGATTATTTTTTAAACTTGAAAAGGTGGTATTGTATGCGGCCAACGCTTCCTGTACTCAGCATTTTATGCTCTTTTTTAGAATTGCCATTGGAACCAATTTATAAGCGTCCATGTAAAGGAACAACTATGTTTGAAAGGAGATAAGAAAATTCTTAATTGGGAGTCAAATGCGAGTCACCCTGAATTCAAGTTCTTCTGCATGGGCCAAGTTCGGAGCGCTTCTCCTCCATGGAGCTGCCCTGTCTGTCTTCCTCAAGGGAGATCCCTGCGGCCTGCGGTCTCCTCTGGAGCTTAGCATCGCAACTCCACCTAAACACACCAGACCCGACAGAGCTGAGATGTCAGCAGGGCGGCTTCCCCGAGGGGAGGGGAGGATGGGCAAGTGGCGCTTGAACCCGATGGGAGGTGGGAGGAGGCGGGAGGAGTCCGGGATCCCCAGGCCGGCGCTCAGGGCCCGCGCCTCCCCTTCTCCGTGTGTCCCGGGCTGCTCTTCGTCCTTCCTGGTGTGGTAAGGTAGTTACTTGGGAAGATGGAGTACTGGAGTCTTTAGTATCCGGGGGCGGGCTGCAGGCCGCGCGCCGTTACAGAGACCTGCAGCCCCACAGTCACTTAACACGGTTAGGAAACAAACCAGACAGGGAAGAAAGAACAAACACAATACCAACGAACCAGTTCAGCTCCGATGGCGCGCTGCATCGGGACGCCATGGCGACCGGAGACGAGCCAGCAGACAGGACACTCGACACAGGACACGATCGCGGAGACATCCGGGCGGGTCCACCGGAAATGCCCAGGCCCAGGCCCTGGGACTGACAGATTCAGTAACCTATCAGCCAAGTGCCCGCCCATCACCTGGGAGGCGGGCGTTTCCTTCCTCCAGCGCGGAGACAAGATGGCCGACCCTACCGTCTGCCCTGTGGCCAAGATGGCGCCGGCCAGACCCGACCTCCTTACTTCAGTGTGGCGTGGAATGCGCACTGGCCCAGGGCCAGCTCTGCCCGCGCGTCCAGCGGACGGAGGCGCACCGGCCGCCGCCTGGGCGGGTGACTCACGCCGGGGCTGGTGCTGTCCCCACGAGGGAGGCTCCACGAGCGCCCCTCCCGCCCCGTCCACGGGGACGTCCACTCAGCGCGCCCCTCAGGGCGGCCGCAAAGCTGCGAGGGGAAGGCCGTGGTCCTGCGGCCGGGCGCCCCGGGCCCAGCGAGCTCGCCGCGGGTTCTGCCCCTGGGGAAGCGGCCGAGGGCTGCGCAGGCCCCGGGGAGCCGCGGCCGGACCCTGCGTGGCGTGGGGCGGGGGGCCGGACCCTGCGTGGCGTGGGGGCGGACCCTGCGTGACGTGGGGCGGACCCTGTGTGGCCGGGAGGCGGACCCTGGGTGGCGTGGGACAGGGGAGGCAGACCCTGCGTAGCGTGGGACGGACCCTGTGTGGCGTGGGGCGGGGAGGCAGACCCTGCGTGGCGTGGGGCGGGGAGGCAGACCCTGCGTGGCGTGGGACGGACCCTGTGTGGCGTGGGGCGGACCCTGCGTGGTGTGGGCCGGACCCTGGGTGGCATGGGACAGGGGAGGCAGACCCTGCATGGCGTGGGGCGGGGGGGGGGCGGACCCTGCGTGGTGTGGGGCGGACCCTGCGTGGCGTGGGGCGGTCATCTTGTTTAAATTAGCAGCACCCTGACAAGACGAAATTGCTTCTTTCAGGTTAATTTACACTTAGCTCATTGAAAAGAGGGGCCATTCCATTTCTCCATTAAATGAACCGGGAGCCATCTATCCATTTAAACTTGGAAGGAATACTAACAGCTCGTGAACTTTGCAGGACTCGGTCCTCATTGTTTTCTTTTCCTCAGGGTGCTTTAATATGCAAAGAGAAAATTTAATCTTGACGCCACCGGGCACGTTCCGGAATAGCTGTATGATTTAATTACTTTTCTTCTGGCTAACTTGAACCCTTTTATATTGTATCCACACAATACCAAAGACTTCTGTTTTCCTTTTGATACTTTCTAAGCACAATGGTGGCTTTTGTTGTTGTTTATTTCTTTTATTTACTTATTTTTGCTTCAAGCATTAGTGGGAGTTTATGACTCCCCCATTTGGGCTGTTGCCTTTTTCACTATGATTGTACAACCCATATTGTTTTGCAATTTTTTTCTTCTTCTATCCTCACATCCACTTCCAATTAAGGGAAGTACCAAGTTTATATATATATATATATATATAATATTCATATTTAAATACATATTATTTTATGCGATTTATATATTATATATTAAATATATATGTAGTAGAAAGAATGCTCCATGCCATATCTTATCTGAAATTTCCTTTGTAAGCTAGCATTCAGGAAAGTAATCTTAATCTTTTTCAATGTTCAAATGGAGGCCAGTCTTCAAGTTGAGCCAGGATATGATTCAGACCTGGTTAGAATTGTGACTCGCTCTCACTAAGACTGTAGAAGAAAGAACTACAGAAAGCCTAACCAGGATTTGAGAACCGTCAGCTTTTCACCCCATCACAAGGCATTAGCTCTAATAAGAATGGGTTTGTGAAGCGAGAAGAGAAATAAAGACCGAAGGACCACTGGAAGGAAGAAATGCTTGATTGGAGTTTGTCTTTCTTAACAGGGTTCAACTTTGCTTGTGTTCTTTGTGTTTCTAGCTAATAGTGTGTTCTCTCTTTATGCCAGACAATGCGTTCTAAGCACCTGAACCACACCATCCCATTTAATTTACGAAGCAGTCCAGTAGTCAGGTAGGACCATTGCCTTCAGTTAATTCAGTAATGTTAGTTAACTCATTTGAGTAGCCATGGCCTCTATCCATTGAATGATACAGAAAGCTTAATGTAATGAAATTATATCAGCTACTACTATGACACAGTTACAGACTACAGACTGTGACTATGTCAGTGAACAAAACAAAGATTCCTGCCTTTGTGTGCTTATATTTTATTGTAAGAGGAAAAAGAAAACAAATGTATATGATAACTTTCAATGAAATGGCATATTGGGAAAAGGGCTACAAGTACTATAGAAAGAAAAGCATATAGTAACAAAGTAGATAAATAACTGTTGTAATTGTTTCGTCCATTGGTAATAAAACTAGTATTTTGGTTACACTCACAGCTGTTTTTTTAAGGTAGGCAGATTGTGTAAGGTGAAGACTCTCCCACTCATGTTGTCATTTTTTTCTCAGCATGGACAATGGTCAGATATGTGAAAGTGGCTGGTTGAAAGGCGTGGTTGTGGTGGTGGGAGGCTGGGCCTTGTTCAAGGTGAAGGTGATTGTAAGTCTGTGGGCTCCATAGGTAGGAAGCGGTGAAATCCAAATTGGGCTAGGCTTAAGGTGACTTTTTTTTGTTTTAATGGTTGTGGGGCTTGAACTCTGGATCTGGGTGCTGTCCCTGAGCTCTTCAGCTCAAGGCTAATGCTCTATCACTTGAGCCACAGCACCACTTCCAGTTTTCTGGTGGTTAATTGGAAATAAGAGTCTCACAGACTTTCTTGTTCAGGGTGGCTTCAAACCATGATCCTCAGATCTCAGCCTCCTGAGTCGCATTACAGGCATGAGCCACTGGTGTGCAGCTTACAACTACTCTTATAATCAAGGTGTAGTATATTTTCCTTCACCACGCCAAATTCTATTCCTTTTCCCTTTCTAATCAGTCACATTTGCTCTAGACAAAACAGTAATGTTTCCTGTCATTGTAGATTAATTTGTTATTTTTAGAGTTTTTTTAATGTAAGTGAGATTATATAGTATCTGTTCTTTTGTGTCTGGCTCTTTTTCACGTAGTGTCATATGAGGACCTTAGCCCATGTTGTTTGATATAATCAGACATTTGTTATTGCCGAGTAAGGTTTAATTATATGGATACATTGGTTTGTCATAGTTCATCCATTCACCTGTTGGAGATTCATGCAGATGTGCTGAATACAAGCAGACCTGCCGTGAACCCCTATGCATTGGTTTGTCATAGTTCATCCATTCACCTGTTGGAGATTCATGCAGATGTGCTGAATACAAGCAGACCTGCCGTGAACCCCTATGCATTGGTTTGTCATAGTTCATCCATTCACCTGTTGGAGATTCATGCAGATGTGCTGAATACAAGCAGACCTGCCGTGAACCCCTATGCATTGGTTTGTCATAGTTCATCCATTCACCTGTTGGAGATTCATGCAGATGTGCTGAATACAAGCAGACCTGCTGTGAACCCCTATGCACAAGGTTTTGTGTGGACATAAACTTTCATCATCTTAGGTAAAACCTTAGGTGTGAATTACTGGGTCATGTGATTAGTGCACATATAAGATGGTTCTGGGTTTCATTCCCACCAGCAATGTATTTCAGTTTCTCTTCATATTTGTCAACAGTTACTGATCAGCCTTCTTTGCTTTAGCTATTCCAGTGGGAGTATAGTATAATCTCAGTGTGGGTGGGTTTCATTTGTGTCATTCTAATTCTTGAAGTTGTGCTGACTTTCTGAGGTTATTTCTATCTTACTTTTAATTGCCTCTCTCTTTTTTTGCCATTGCATACATTAGGAATGTGTCTACTCTTATTAGCTGGTGTAGATAAGCTAGTTTCTCCAGCTTAAAGTTTCAGCGTCTCATTTATTTCTCTTTTCCCAAAGATTGCTTTCAGCTTTCTGTGACCTACGGGGCAGTAATGAAATACATGAGCATCTTTTCATGTAACACAATTTTTAACTAAGGTCCAAGGAAACCTAGTATTTCAACTTAAATAATGTGTCATTTTCTTATATAAAGACACTTTTGTGAATATTTTCTGGAGCCAGATTTGGTGGATTATGCCTATACTTCTAGATATTAAGAGGTGGACATAGATCATGATTTGAGTGGCAATCCGGCAAAATGTTAGCAAAACCATATCTCAAAAAAAAATAAGCTGCCATGGTGGTACACATCTATAGTCCTCAACATGCAGAAGGCAGAGATGGGAGGATCCTTGTGTAAAGCCAGTAATAGACAAAAAGAAAGAGACCCTATCTGGAAAGAACCTAAAGCAAAGAGGGCTATGGGCATGGCTCAAGTGCTAGAATGCCTTCAAGCAGGTGTGAAACCCTGAGTTCAAACCCCAGTGACAAAACAAAGCAAATGCAAGACTCTTCTGACATAAGAAAACATTTTTCATATATGTTAAGTGTTTTATATATTTTTATTCTTAGTATTCAAACTCATTTTGATGACTACTTTCTTTGATGGTTACTTCCTTTTCAGTTAAAATGGTCTTAAAAACAATTTTTGACATGAAGAAAACCTCCCTTTGTATATATTAAATGATTTACATATTTCTATTCCTAATATTTGAACTCATTTTGAGAGTTACTTCCTTTTCATGTTATCAGGTTCATAGAATTTACAAGAAAAGGAAATGTAAGCTCTTAATAGATAAATTATGTATGTATTCCCTAGAAAGTTATTTGATATAATCATACATTGTCTGGTTCCTTTGAAAAATTCAGTTACTTTCTACTGGTTTTCTTTGACAGCTATTTAGAGGAAGTATATGCTAACATACTATATTATTATAACTTCTTTTTTTTTGGAGCTTGAACTCTGGGCCTGGGTGCTGTCCCTGAGTTCTTCAGCTCAAGGCGAGCATTCTACTTCTTGAGCCACAGTGCTACTTCTGGTTTTCTGGTAGTTAATTGGAGATAAAAGTCTCACGGACTTTCCTGTGCAGGCT